GGGCGCAACAGAATCCAATGGACATGAGAACAGGAGACGCACAGATAAGAAGACAGCAGAGCTTGGGGAATGAGTGCCATCCAGACCAAGAGGAGGATTCATGATGACAGGATGACAGGTGGGGATGGGATCCAGAGAGGTCAACACAGAGAAGAAGGAGCGGGTTTGGCGATGCAGGGCAGGAGAGGAATTCAGCCTGGGAAATATCAAATGCTGCGTATTAACTAGAAATTCTAGAAATTTATAGAGACCTTTACTCTGAATCAGAGAGTTTTTCTTGGCAAATTGAGGGTTTAATTAATTGAATATTTTATTACTGGGGATCATGTTCAATTTCACACGAAGGTTTGCAGTGGAAGAATGCTATAAATGTCAAGACGCTGTTTTTACTCAGGTCAGGAGAAAATAAACCCCAGTCCAGCGCCAGCATAGTTATTGCAGCAGAGGCCCCGTGATTCTCTGCTCCGTATGCTGATGGTGGGTAAGTGTGAAGAGAGACGTGAGCCTGCATCACAGGAGACAGACGTGAGTGCTCATTCTGGAGTCCTAACACCGGCTCCCCCTGCAGCTGCACAGCCACGCAGCCAGCGGTGTGATTCCTGCGCCCGCCGTCGGCCTCCCTGGGCGGCCTCATTCTCTCGCTTGTGAAATGAGATTGGATATCAGAAGTCTGGCCAATACTGCAGTTAGGCGATTCTAAGAGAGAAAAGAGAAGGACAGTACTTTTGTGTTTGTTTCTGAGTAACATTTCATAAAATGTCTACTTGAAACACAGAAACACATTCCGTGTGGTAGCAAGGTCTGCGTCCCACACGTGTTTCCCGTGCAGCCCATTCGGGGGAGGCTGTGGATGACAGCTGGAACGATGACAGGCTTGAGAAGTCTCAGCCCAGCCCGGCCTTTGCTGCCAGCGCTGGCCCCCTGCAGCTCTGTTCACAGTTTAATTCGCTGCCAGGTGTCCTTTTCATTTTCCAGGCAGTTCCATATTTGTGCTTTCTGTCTGGTTAAACCAAGGACACGTTCATGATATGATATGAAGAGAGAAAAAGCCAACAGGTTTGGAGTAAGACGCACCTGGCATTGGGCTGAGGAGGAATATTAAATTTATGACGCTCAGTTTCCTCACCTGTGACCAGAGGGTGATGGAGCCCACCTCCCAGGGTTCTGACGAAGACTGAATGACCCCCGGGAGAGCGTCATGCATGCTGCCCAGCACCCAGCAGGTGCTCAGCCAGTGGGACTTCCCACCCTGGTGGAGGCATGAGCCCTGCACTTTTCTGCCCGTGCGAGGCCTCCTTGGGTGAGAGAGGGAAGGTCTGGCTCCGCCATCTCTGTGAGAATATCTATAAAACGCTCTGGAGCACCTTGTCATTCTCAGGCGGTCCTGCCTTCTTTCCTGCTTCACCGATGACGGCTTGTTCCTTGAAGAAGAGGAGAGGGACAAAGAGAAATTGACTCTAGGAGACTCTGGTGGGGCCACAGTTCCAGGGAGGCCCATAAGAGAGTGAAGGTGACTGAGAGTGCGGAAGAGGAGGGTCCAGAGAGGATGATGGGGAGTGGGGGAGGGGTTGCAGCTCAAACATAAAGAAAACACCACTACTCTAGGCAGCCCCTTATCATATCTTGCACCAGGGACGAGGGAGCGTCTTGGGAATGCCAAAGCAGGAAGGTCAAGGTGTTTCATAGACGTTTCCAGTTCTGCCTCTGAGGCTATAGAGTCCGACGAAATAAACAAACTAAGATATCTTTTTCATGCAGGCACATTTCATTATTCTTGTGGTGATTTTGCTGACTGTGTGGCCGATAAGGATGTAGGTGGCTATAAAGGAAGTATTTTTCTTGAGGTTTGTAATAAGCAGTCCATGAAACTGGGCCAGAGAGAGAGTGTGTGCTGTGGAGGTTGCTCTGGGAAGGGAGGGCCTAGCTCTTACGGCTTCTCTTCCCAGCCCTGCCTCATCCTGCAGAGCCCTGTGGAATATGCTGTTTGAGCTCTCTCCCTCTCTCTCTGCTAGTCTCTGGAAATTGGGATTGCCACCAACTTTCACTGGGTGTGAGGACAGCAAAATGATTCAAGCAATAGTGCCCTGCTCGGAGGAGATGCCTAGATGATGTGCTGATAACGAATGCCCACGGAAGAGGAGGATCTGGTTTTCTCATAGCCGCCGTCAGTCCCGTGGTTGCTGATAGGTGGAAAAGATATCAGATAAAGTGGACCCAGACTTCCCTAATGAAGGCCCATACAGTATCACCGTGAAGCTCTGGGTGCCTCTGTCACAGGCAATGCCAGTTGTACTCCCAGGGGTGCGGTCTGGGGGCTCCCTGCTTCAGCTGCAGAGCTGTGCTCCTCAGAAAAGGATGGAGAGCCACGTGTACCTGGTATTCCTGACCATAAGTTCCCCTAACAGAGCTGGATCTGGGCAGATTTCTGGTCACTGGGCCACCAGGCAGTGCTGGGGTCCAACCCCAGCAGGTCCAGGGGTCCCCAAAGGTGTGGACGGAGTCGGCGAAGAAGGAATGACACGAAGACAGCATTCAGTTGATCAGCAGCCTAGCCAGGATCTCCAGCCAAGTTCTGTCTAGGTTCTCCAGCGAAGTTCTGGCTAGGATCTCCAGCAAAGTTCTGGTGTTTATTGTCTTGTTACATCTGTATTTATACCAGTTGATTTTAATCCTGTCAATTTCTATTGCAAAGGTTAGGGCGTTTCTTATCTCCATTCCAGGGAGTAAAGATTATGTAGCTTAAGCGTGATTGTTTGTAGTTAAAGTGATTAACTACCCGCCTGGCACTTAGTTAAGGGGTTTTATCCCCTCCCTAACTTCAGGGAGAAATCCCTACCTGGGGAAACAACCTTTCTCGGAGAGGTGACCTTGGTTAAAACACATAGCGCTAAGCGAAGCAAACATATTAAGAACAGTATGCTATATACGCCAGGTCCCTTGAAACATATGCTGTGCAGATGTTTCTTTCCTGCAGCGACTGTGTCAAGCAGCAAGGATGGACTGGCTTCCGGCAAGGCAGGGTTTCTAGGGCTGGCAGTCCCTGCTGCCTCCTCTGCCCTCCCAGCCTCAGGTGCGGTGATGCCTCTGCATTGGCCACCAGAACGGTTGATCCTTGGATCTTCTGAGACTGTTCCAATTTGCAAGTCCTAGGGAAGCATGGAAGAGCTGTATTCATATCCACAAAGGCAGCCGAAGAGAGTTAGGTACTTTTCACATAAGGCTAATCTGTGAATTTTGACTGTTTCACAAATCTCCCTGACCTTTAGCCCCGGTCTATGATTCTTCTTTCTTCCCACATAAAGTAGGATGACCAGAATATAGAATTACAACTGCCGGGGCAGCTTAAAACAGCAGGCTTTGAATAGATCTGAGCATGTAAGACCCAGGCATTCTGGTCTCAAGGACAAGAAGAGGGAGGGATGTCTTAAGGAAATGATCCCCTGCCCGATTGGTAGCCCATCCAGATGTGCTGATGTGTAGTTGTTTTTATGGGATGCTGTACCACTCTTCCTCCAGCAGCCCCTCCCACAGCTGTACTTTGCTGCTCCTTCCTCTCCCATTGGTAGTGGACCGAGTGGTTCCTGGTAGCCACCTAGCCATGCAGCTACCTCCGGGGATACATTTTAAGGAAATGTGAGAGGCCCGTCCATCTGGTTATTTCTGCTCTTTGCACATTGTAACTTACCCTTGGACTTGCAACTGAATCAGGGTTTGGGAAGTCCTTGTGCTTTGGAAACTTGCACTTCCAGGGGGAGTATTCTCTTGGCATCTTCTTTGACCCTTAGTCCCTGATGAATTCCTAGCATTAAGGAGCCCGTCAGAATTTGGGATGATAACACAAAGACACGTAAAAGGGTGGTTTCTAGGGTGTAAAATTCAAACCATTATGAGTTAGTCACATGATACCGTAGGCTAAAGAAAATAAGAAATGTATAGTATGTTTGGAAGTTGATGTTGATTTGATATCTTTTTCAGCCTTCTCTCCAAATTAGTAGTGGGCATCAATGAACCGAGCCCACTAGATCCAGCACACTTGACTATTGCCTTTCACTAGGTATCTTTTCTGCTGAGTCCCTGGTAGGCTCAAGGCAAAGTGTTATTGCTTCAGTGGATAAAAATAAAATCAAGAAACTGACAGGTAGTAGAGGTAAGACAGATAAGTCACTGTAGTAATATAAGGACAACGTGAGTAGGTGCCCAGAAAGTGTTATCAGAATGCTCCAGGGAGCTGCCATGGGGTTGAAGGAGGACACTGAAATCCTACACAGGTGGAGGGGATACTCAGAAAAAGGGTTCAGGGAGGTGGTGCACTTGAAGCACATCAGGCAGGATCTTACGTGGTGGGGATGGGAAAGGGAAGGATTTGTGGGTGGTGATGACTGTCAGAGCGCCGGTAAGTACATAAGCATCTAAAGTTCTATTCAATAGTGCCTGTGCGTATATCTGTGTGTATGTGTGTATATATTGTGTGTGTCTAGGTACAGTCAGATGTACATTTTATTTTATTTTTGTAAATATATTTGTATTGATTTTAGAGAGGAAGGGAGAGGGAGAAAGAGAGAGAAACATCAGTGATTAGAGAATCACTGATCGGCTGCCTCCTGTACACCCAACACTGGGGATCAAGCCCACAACCTGGGCATGTGCCCTGATCAGGAATCGAACCATGACCTCCTGGTTCATAGGTTGGTGCTTCACCACTGAGCCACACCAGCTGGGCTTTTTAAAAAATAAAAACCTTATATTCTCTTCAAAAATGAAAGACCGAAGATTTTAAGTAGAAGCATTGCCCAAACTCTGTTCTCTAGTTCTGAGAACAAGAATACCTCCGAGCAGTACTTCCTATTAATAGACATTCATGTTTATACTGGCCAGGTAGGAATGAGGTGTTTTTTGATTTTCTTTTGTCCAGGCATCTATGATTGGGGCTACTCCCTTTTTTTAAAAGTATGTTGAAACATTAGACTTCCTGTTTCTGCTTGATTTTGAAAATACCTCCTGCTCGCCTATCACAGGTAATCTCTGTGTTCTTGTGTAGCCGTGGTTTACAGGTAGCAAGTGCAGGCAGCAACCAGTCCCTCCTCACTGGGATGTGGAGATCTATCTGGAGTCACAATTAAAGGCTACCGAATGCATTCCACTACAGGTGACGAAACCCAGCTCCCAGAATAACAAGCAGGACAACTTTTAAAGTGACTGTTGTTGACCAGTGTCTTCTGTGCATTTGCGTGGTAAGCTCACGGTGGATTTTTCTAAAGGACGGTATAGATTTTTCTGAATTACTCTCGGGAAGGACGGACTCTTCCTGAGGTTGAGACAGATGCCATAGAATACAACAGGGTGGCTGTGTGCGTTCCTCCGGTTGGTGTGACTCTGCCAAGACTCTGTGAGGCTGTCCTGATTGACAGGGAGAAAATGCTGAGACTAGGTGAGTTAAAACTGCCCTCACACTAACTTGGATTTAATGTGCGTGACGGAACCTGGTGGAGAGTTCAGATGACTAAGTAACCTGGTGTTGTCTACAAGGGAATGACTTTTGGTGGCAGCTTTAAAGTGGTTGTGTTCAACGAATCATGGCTTTTCTTTTGCTGTGACTCTGGGTGTGGAGAACTGGTATTAAGCTGAGGGAGGTTTGACTATTGTGGGTGGAAAAAATGGCATCTATAATTTGCATGTAGACAGTTTCATTTGTAGACAAATGAAGACTTGAGATGTTTCAGAGATGGGGCTCTGAAAAGATTGAATAGCTTTTTCACTTAAAGTTTCTTCTTTTTTTTATAATTTCCACAAGTTTATTAACTCTAAGGCATCTCCGGTTGCCAGTGGTCTGGTAGTGGCAGTAACGCCATGTGATGGCTGCAAACTCAAGGATGTTTATTTCTGTTCTCCCATTGTGTAGATGTTTGTCAGAAGATCCCTGCTACCATTTCCTCTAACAGCCAATAAGCAATTTTACCCTATATATAAGCCCTTCTTGTACTTTTAAAATACACCTAGGCTTGTTTTCAGCCATATTGAATGCTTCTACAAGTGTACTTAATTTTGTTAAGGCAAATTTGGAAAGTTTTTGAGGATTGAAATAAAGAGAGCATTTATACAATTTTTTCAAGTTTACGTATAATATTTATTGAAGTTTATCTAGAATTTTCCTGGTCAAAAAACTTTCTGGAGCTTAAATTGAATGTTAGAAAGGAACTGAAAGTGTGAAGACCTAGGTGGGCGTTAATAGATCTAGATTCTTGACTCATTAACTGAATGCTTGTCAGCTAAGACTATTATTTCCTAGACCCATGACTTCTTCTGTGATACAGAATGTGGTCACCGGCAGGCACATCCTTTGTGTTCAATGTTCATTTGCCTACCAGATGCCTGGAGCTGTGCACGTGATTCTCTGTCAGCTTTCTCTCTATACGCATATAGGCATATTCTATCTGATATATAAAAATGGTTCTGTGTCTATGACTGTATATCATGGCACATATGCAGTTGGGATCAGAGCCAAGTTTGGCTGGGAAGGTTTTATAGAAGAAGGGGATTTTGGGTAGGGTTCCAAAGGGATGGGGAGTTATATACTTTGGCAGAAAGAAGCATACATAAAGCTTCCAAGGCTGGAGTAAGTCAAACACATTCGGGAATAAGCATGAACCATTTCAGAGCAAGTGATACATTACTGGTTGAAGAAAGCCAGGGCTGAATGTGAAAAGGCAAGGGGATGAGTGTGGGAGAGAACGGGGGTGGGGGTGGGGGGACTGTGGGAGCTTCTCTAGTCCATGTTGCTGGTAAATGTCACCCTTGGATACCAGCACCCTGGCCATGTTGCCATCTAGTGGAACTGGCCCAGATGCACACGGGAGCATCACCCACCTCTTCTCACTTTAGGTCAAATTAATAGTGTGGTATTGGAGGTAGGGAAGCTTACTGCTCTTTCCGCCAGGGTATTTTAGATGAAGAATTAGCCCAAGGAGATGGATGTAACCATGTTCTCCAAAATTATATTAATTTTGCCTTAGGGAAAAAATGGAGCTGAATACCAATAAATATATTTAAATATATAGAACACATTTATCAAATATAAATAATTTCCCATACATAACAATTGCTGAGAGTGCAGGGCATACATGGCCCTTTGGCTCAGGGCATGGAGCGTGTGGAACCCAGCATTGGAGGAGTTCTGCAGCGGAGTGAAGGCATAGCCCATCTGGCTCTGGGCTGGCTTGTTATTTCATGTGGTTACAGAGTCCATCCTAGTACAGTGGTGAAAGAGGAGAGCCCTTGACATGGACCCCAGAGCCCACAGACCTCAGAGCTGGAAGATACTGTAAAGAGCTGTACTTAGCCTGGCCAGTGTGGCTCAGCAGTTGAGCATCGACCCAGGAACTGGGAAGTCGCGGGTTCGACTCCTAGTCAGGGCACATGCCCGGGTTGCGGACTCACTCCCCAGTGAGGGGCATGCGAGAGTCAGCCAATCGATGATGTTCCTCTCTCATCGATGTTTCTATCTCTCTATCTCTCTCCCTTCCTCTCTCTCTAAAAAAAATCAACTTTAAAAAAACATAAAAAACAAACAAACAAAAAGAGCTATACCTGCCCTCCCTTCCACCCATCCAGGCATGTGTCCATTCACCAAAACTTACTGAATTCCTGTTATGTACCAGGCACTCTTCCAGGTACCAGGGAAATGCCAGTGAACAAAGCAGATAGAAGTCCCTGCCCTTAGAGAGACAACCTTCTGGATAATAAGCAAGCAAATAAGTAGAACATTCAGAGGTAGAGCAGGGGAAGCTAGATCAAAGGAAAACTAAGCTAAGATTTATGTTAGCTACAGCTTTTAAAACAAGGTAATAAGGCTTTTCCTATGGCACACTTTTCTAGCTACCTCTGGCCTTTGGCACCTGTATCCTTGATTTTTCTTTTTTTACTAGAGGCCCGGTGCATGAAATTTGTGCATGGGGGTGGGCATCCCTCAGCCTGGCCTGCACCTTCTCGCAATCTGGGACCCCTCGGACATCCCTCTCGCAATCTGGGACCAATGGCTCCTAACCGCTCACCTGCCTGCCTGATCACCCCTAACCACTCTGCCTGGCTGCCTGATCGCCCCTAACCGCCTCTGCCTACTGCCTGATTGCCCCGATCCACTCTGCCTGCCTTCTTGATCACCTCTTACCACTCTGCTGCCTGCCTGAATACCCCTAACTGCTTGCCTGCCTGCCTGATCACCCCTAACTGCCTCTGCCTCAGCCCCTACCACAACAGCTTCATCCAGAAGGACGTCCGGAATGATGTTCGGAAGGTCGTTCAGCTGTCTGGTCTAATTAGCATATTATGCTTTTATTATTATAGATATGTTCTGTATTTTTTAAAATATATGAAATATATATATATGTATGTTATGTGGGATACTGTTAATGGAAAAGGAAGGACAAGATTTCTTTTAAGTGAAAGGGGGATAGGATTGTTTTGTGTGTGTGTGCGTGGGGGCGGGGGGAGGATTTGCTATCGTGTGTCCTCACTGAGAATGTTGAGAATGTGCTATTAGATTCATCTGAAAGATGTGAGGAAGCCAGGCCTGTGAGTATCCTGGGGAAGAGCATTCTGGGCAGAGGGAGAACAGATGCAAAGGCCCTGAGGTGGGAATGGGTGTGGTATTCCAGGAAAGGCCAAAGGGCTGATATGAGGAGGGGAGATGAGCCAGACAGGTGGTGAGGAACCAGAATAGGTGGCACCTTGTGGACAGTTATAATGAATTGACTTTTACCGGGCAGGAGATGGGCTAGTGTAATCTACTAATTTTACAAATGAAATGTAGGACAACGAAGAAGTCAACTCAGGTGTCCATGGTTATTCAGCGTCCTAGTGCCAGAGCTGGGATGAGAACCTACCTCTGACCCCAGCATTCTTCCCACCACCCTGCTGCTTGGTGGGACGTGGGCCACATACCGGCCCAAACTTCCAGGTGCAGTGGCTCCTCCAGCAGCTGTTGCAGCGGTTCATTCTGGTTGTTCCCCAGTGTGTCCTGCCCACCTTACAGAGGACCCGCTGCAAACACAAGAAAGGGTCAGACCTCTCATCTCCGAGGAGTCCCCTGCCAAATATTGCCTTTCTTTGTTTTGATCTGGAGATAAATCCTTCTGGTTTTCTAAATACTATAATCTCATAAACCAGAATCTACAATCTTCTAAAGCCTCCCTACGTTCATTGCTAAGTTACTTGGATACAGTTAACACAAGATAAGAGTGACTGATGGTTATTAAATGCAGTTTGACCTGGACAATTTTTGCTCAACATTCTTTGTCTTCTTGCTTTACTGTGAGTCAGTTCAAGCCTTTGTTTTTCTTCCATTCCTTTAAATCTTATGACTGTTGTCCTCTGGACACAGGCCAAATCTTCTAATTTCACTTTCTGTCGAAGGTCGGACTAGTGCTAAGTATTGAGAAAAATAACTCTTTGCTTACCTGAGTCATCCCCTCTCCTCTAGTCACCCATGGCCTGTACTCTGTGGACAGAGTAACGCGAGGTATTGGTGTAAGGTCGTCCCATCTTGTGGAGAGAACTAAGTCATCCCTGACTCTCTTGCCTCTTCTGTCCCTTTTTCCCATTATGGATACCTCAAGATTTACATTAGCATCTTAATTTGCATTTAGAATTGTATAGCCCTTTTTCTGTGTGTTTTTTTATGTTCACTTGTATACGTTGTCTATAAATGAGCTCTCAAATCCTGGGGTTAACATTGATTGGCGTCCTTTGGTATCAGTACTTCCAGTAGTTAGTTCTTCATCTACCCCTAGAGCATGAGGGCGAAGACCCCCACAGTCCTTTGCTTGTGGTCTTTGGGAGAGTTGTCCTCGCTGGCTTTGGGGAGAACCTGAGGAGGAGTGCTTGCTGGGGGAAATTCTGTGATCAAAACTCAGGACAACAAAGCAAATGCAGAATTATTTACCTGGGGGTTGCTACCAGCAGCAAGGAGGCCTTAAGAAAACTTGACAAGAAACATTTCTTCATTTCCAGCTTATGAACAAGTGTTTGCTACATGTGGGTGGTGGACCCCGAGAGTGTTCAGTTACAGGTGCCTGCAAAGACAGCCTGATTAAAATGCCGACCGATTTCCCCAGCTTCCAGCTTCCAGAAAGTCATTCTGTTAGAATTCAATGTTTCGGCTGTAAGACTGCTGAGTGGAAGTGCAGGAATGCAGTGAGCTGTGCACTGGGTGCCTTCCTCAAAGCAACCCCAGGTGGACTTCGGCATATCCTAAGGCAAAAAGCTGGCCTGATCCTAATAGCCCAGTGCTGCCTGTTCCTACTTAATAAGTTCCTACCCTTCACAAATGTGTCCCTGAGCGCCTTACCACACACCCTTGGTTCCTGGGACAAATCCCAGGGCAGGCCTGACCTGGCTCCTGGCTCCTGGCTCCACATTAGTCTGGAGCTTTTG